TTAGGGTTAAGGGCCAGTTTAGGGTTTAGGGTTAGTTAGGGTGAGGGTTTCGGGCTTAGGGTTCTTGTACAGCACGTAATGGATTATACCACACGTACTCCCAGCAAGAACCACTGCAGAAGCCACCTTTACAAGATCCTTCAACAACAGCTTGTTTTTAACAAACGCACTCAGACCCCAAAGGCAACCCTATCAAACCCCAAAAAAACACCAAAAAAAAAACGTGTAAAAGCCTGTGGAAGCCCGAAACCCCATTAGAAGATGTCACGCCCCGTGACCGGTCGAAGAGCCAGCTCCCTGAGGGGCAAGAGGATGTAGGTCACCTGGGCTGTGAAGTAACCAGGGAGAAAAAAGTATAGACTTTTATTTTATAATGGTTCCTTTAAGGAACCCTAAACCCTAAACCCTAAACCCTAAACCCTAAACCCCAAAAAAGTATTAAAGTATGGTATTCCACGGCCCAGTCACCACGATAGGAACCTCAGAGGCAGCAAGGCTTTGAGCTTCAGGGTTCGGGGTTTAAAGGTTCAGTGTTTGGGGTCTAAAGTTTAGGGTTTAGGGTTTAAGGTTTGGGGTTCAGGGTTTAAGGTTTAGGGTTTAGGGTTTAAGGTTTGGGGTTCAGGGTTTAAGGTTTAGGGTCAGGGTTCAGGGTTTAAGGTTTAGGGTTTAAGGTTTAGGGTCAGGGTTCAGGGTTTAAGGTTTAGGGTTCAGGGTTTAAGGGTTCAGAGTTTAGGGCTTCAGGTTTAGGGTTCAGGGTTTGAGGTTTGGGGCCCAGGGCTTGCAGGTTTCACTGTTTAGAGTTTATGGTTGCAGGCTTCAGCCCGAAACGGTGTAACTGCGATGTTGCGATGCCCCCTCCCACACATGCACCCGCCACAAGCTGTCTCGGGTGGTTCATCCACCCAGACCAGCGCGTGCGTCAACAGACTTGTGCCTCTGTGGCTGAAGCTAGAGGCATACACATTTCTATCTTCATGAAACTGGAGAACGGTAGCCCGAATGATGTGCCGATCTGCGTCTCGTTAAGACTGTCATGACCCCGTAGACATGCTCACCGTCTGTAGCTCTGAAGGAAAGCCAGGGAGCTAGAATCAGAATCTTGCAGATCACACCGCACCACTTCTCACAAGCTTTCTCCAGCTCCTCCTCCTCCTTCTCCTCCTGCTCCTTGCGCTTCCGTTCCTCTTCTAGTTCGGCTTCAGTCTTTGGCGGCTTCTCCTTCTCCTTGTCCTTCTCCTTCCGGGAGGCGGTTTCAGGGTTTAGGGCAACACCACAAACCCTAAATCCCGCCAAAGTTCAAAGAAATGCAAGTGCCTTCTCCCTCCCGTTGTACTTCTTCAACCTGTCGAAGCTTCCCATGGCCGCGAAGGGAAGCCCGATCCAGACGGAAAGCTACAGCATGCGTGGGCCCGCGTAGGCTACTGGCAAACTATGCTAAAGACCAAAGGCTGGTAAAGCAATATCCCCTCTCGTATAAGCATCTTCCACAGAATCCTGCTGTAAGACAACGGTCGTAAAGGCTCTCTCAGGCATCTTAGAGTCTTGGGGTGTGACACCAGAAACCTCGGCAGCAGAACCGCCTTTGGGCCTAAAGCAGCAGCGAACAAACGGTCAAAGATCCTGTCGAACTGGAGCCGGAAGGGTCCGTCTGAGGAGCCCATCATCGTCACGACCATAATCACCTCCAGCATCGTCGCCAGCGTCACCATCATCTTCACGATCATGACCACAACATCGTCATCGTTACCATCACGACCACTCTTCCTCAAAAACATATCGCAACCATCGTTGCCATGACTACAAAAATAATCATCACCATCACCGTCATCATCATAGCCATCGTCGTCACAATCGGCATCATCATCATCATCATCAGCAGCAGCAGCAGCTGCAGCTGCTGCATCATCAACACAACATGCCGTTGCCCTTCATCTTCATCTTCGTCTGGATCTTCATCATCATAACGACCACCGTGGACATCGTCGCATCATCATCACCATCGCGACCATCAGCACCACCACATCGTCGCCAGTCGCCATCATAGTCGCCGCCATCATCATCATGATCCTCATCCTCATCATCGTCATCATCACCCTCATCCTCATCCTCGTCCTCATCCTCATCATCATCATCATCATCACCATCACCACCATCATCATCAACCATAAGTTCATAATCGTCATCTGACTAACTACGGTCGCCATGACCATGAATACCACCATCGCCATCCCTCATCACGGTGATGAGAGTGCCGTGTTGAGTGAAGATCATGTCAGAGTCAGGAATGGCAACAGTCTTGGCAGAATCGTTCAATAATCATTACAGTGGAAGATAAAATGGACGAAACACAGATGCCATCAGGTTTTGGCTCATAATGTAAGAATAGCAACAGTTGCGAAAGTCAGAACAGCCGTGGCAGCCAAATACTGTTGCTAAAAAGCATCGGGGCTGATTTTTCATATAAATCCAAGCTTTAAGTCCCAGCCTCTCCGTACTAAGCCCCCACACCCCGCAAAACCTGACCCTACACCTCAAACCCTAGTTGCCGGGGTCCCCAGCCCAGGTTTCTAGGTCCGCGGTGCAATTGAAGGGCTCGGAACCCGTGCTGTTGCACCCCTCTGTCTGTGCACAGCACCTGGGATTTTAAAAGGACTTGGGGCTTAGGGGTTTAGGGGTTTAGGGTTTGTACTGGCTGCAATGAGGAAATTGCCTGGAGTCCTAGAGTTAAGGGAACCCGACCCCAAAGACCATGATCTTGATTCCCACAACATCGGGCGCACAGGTTCGGGCTTTATACTTCGATGAAGGGTTCTTCAAGTTGTAACGTAGGGGTCGACATGATTCGATTAGGACTTCGGGGTGTGTACACTATACTTACTTTTTTTGAGGAGCCCCGAAGCCTAAGGAAAAAAGTTACTGCTTCTTGCGGCCCTTATGGTGTTGGCTGCGCGTTGTAAACCCTAAACCCAAGGTCCGAAACCTTAAACTCGCACCTTCAAATCGGCTCGAGGTTTGGGGGTTTAGGGTTTAGGGTTTAGGGTTTAGGGCTTAGGGTTTAGGGTTTAGGGTTTAGGGTTTGGGGTTTTGGGTTTAGGGTTTCGCGTTTAGGGTCCTATACCCCAAATGCCGGATTCTTGGGACCCTTGGCAGCATGTGTGCTTTCTTTCTTGAGCAGCCAGCACCAAACCTGGGGGAACTGGTTCCGGCCGTGAAACGCAGAGCCCAAAGACGAAGCCCCAGACACGAATGTAGGGGCCTTAATAATTAGAATAGGGCTTTTGGGCCCGCTATACTATACTTATAATAAGGAACCCCCAAAATAATATAGGTAATTCATTAGGCCCTATCTATCAATCCCAAACTCCTCTGTCAGCTGTTCGGTTAAGGTTTCGGCCACTGCCTCTTGGTATTGCTCCAGGCCATGTCCTGACAGCAAGGACAACTTTCCGTTCGGGCTTTGGGGCTAAAGCCTCCGGGGCTTTAGGGTTTTAGGGCCCTAAACCCGAAGCCCTAATGAGAGTCTCGGGTTTTAGGGTGTTGGAGCGTGGTCCGACTAGGATTCGAGTCCCAGGGTTTAGGGTTTAGGCTTAGGGCTTTTGGGGTCAAGAAACCTCTCAAACTACCGAGCCCTGAGCCCATGAAAACCTCAGCAAGCCGCTTCGAAATCAGGGCTTGCGGTTTCGCGAACCTCCGGAGCAACCAAACCGGGAATCCGCATCCCCCCAAAACCCCCCCCCCCCCCAAACGGGTTTAGGGTTTAGGGTTTAGGGTTTAATCTGGGGTAGTTCATGGCTTGGGGTTCATAGGGTTTGATTCCCACAAGACCCCAACCTCAACCTATAAAGACCCGAGCATGAGACCCTGAACACCTAAAACCTCAAACCCAACAGGTTTAGGGTTTGGGGCTTTAGGGTTTTAGGGTTTTAGGGTTTAGGGTTTTAGGGTTTTAGGGTTTAGGGTTTAGGGTTTAGGGTTTAGGGTTTAGGGTAACACCCCTTGGCTGGTGCGCGTCCTGGTTCTCGCAGTCGAAGTGGTGATGATCCTCGCGGACAGGGCATCTCTTGGTTTTCTGGACAGGTACTGGTTTAGGGTTTAGGGTTTAGGGTTTAGGGTTTAGGGCCTAGGGCTTAGGGTTTGGGGTTTAGGGTTTGGGGTTTAGGGTTTAGGTGGTGTCTACACCACAGAGTCCGAGGTCCTAGGGTGCAGGGTCTCCTGGCTTTAGGGTACTTTCCACCCGGGATGGCCGCAAGGAGCCCTGAAACCGAGGCTTAGGTCCATGTCGGATTTGGTTCAATAAATGACGGACGCAAAGAGTCCCACTATGCACAAAAGTGTCCTTTCGAGTTAGGAATAGGGTTTTCGGGTATGCTATGGTATACCTATGTAAGAACTATGAGGGGGAGTTTGGAATACATGATCGAATAGGAATTGAAGATTCGGGTCAGGGCTTTACGGCTTTCATAGAAACTATGGTTGTTAGGCGAAAGCCTAGTATAGCAGCTTAAGGTTTAGGGCTTAAGGCTTAGGATCTAGGGCTGAGGATTTAGGGTGTATGGTTGCGGCTTTAGCAGCCTTGTGTCGTCATGCAAACCGTAACATGCCAGCCCATGCGATGCCCACCTGCGAGTGGTGATAGTGGCCAGGATGCACATGGGTCACGTGGGTGATGTCGGTATGCCTGGGAGCTTTCATGAAGCTCTTTCAGATTTTGCATCAGCCGTTGGAGCCTTATTTTGGGGTCTAGGCCAGAACTTAGGGATTAAAGCTTAAAGTTAGGGCTTGAGGTTCAGGGTGTGGGGTTTAGGATTTAGGGCTGGGGGGTTGGGGCTTGGGGTTCAGGGTTTGCGGTTTAAGGCTTAGGGCTTGAAGTTACAGGTGTAGTCTTTAAGGTGTTCAGCTTCCTTGCGAAAGTCGTGGTTCTGCATGCGCCAACACTGGGCATCGAGTAATTGGGCCGTGATAACCCGAAATCGAACACTCGAAACCCTAAACCCCTTAGCCTTCCATATCCCTGAAGGGACCCTTTAAGGAACCCTTCGAAGAAGGGCAAACACCGAAACCCCATAACCCGAAATCCAAGGCCTGCTCCCTCCAGGCTTAATCCAAAGACTGGCTGGGGCCCGCACTCGCCATGTCCCTGCGACGGCTGAAGACCGATTGCGGGCTTAGGGTGTCTTCGTCATACGGATATGTGGGGTCCTTTCCAGGGTCCCTTGTTTTCCGAACTCGCATGTCCAATCTGAAGAGCTTAAGCTATTAGCCTACCTGTAGCCGAAAAAACCTACCTTTTTGGGGTTCCCTATTATGGTTTCTATATATAGTTCCTGAAAAGGTAGGTCTTTTGGGCCACAGGTAGAGCCCTAAACCCCTAAACCCTAAACCCTAAACCCTAAACCACAGGTAAAGCATGAGGGACGGCGCGGGGCGTCAGAACCTTTGTCGGGTGCCGGCAGGGCAGCCTTCTGGGAGCTGCGTCTTCCAGGGTTTAAGGTTTAGGGTTTAGGGTTTAGGGTTTAGGGTTTAGGGTTTAGGGTTTAGGGTTTAGGGTTTTGTTTGTCTTTCCAGGGCTCCATCTAGGTTTAGGGTTTAGTAAGGAAGGCCTTTACCCCAAAGCACGAAACAAAGACCCTAAACAGTTCACCAGATCCCCAAAACGACAAAGAAGCTCGGCAAATACCTGGTGTACGTCGGCCATTTTCCGTCTGAGAGAGCGTCGCCAAAGCTCTGAAATCTCAGATTGGCGGGGCTGCGCGCGAGTGTTCGTTTTCGACGGCACCTTTGACACCGTCACGAAATCCAGAGCCGAATTCTCGGACACTGTAGTTGAGGAAAGGAATCTACTCGAGGACTGGAGAGGCTTCCAGCAAGGCCCTGGGGTGATTCTTTGGAAACACTAGAGTCACTAGAGTCACTAGAGTGGAGGGGTATGACGAAGCACGCTTGATTTGGGTTTTCATGGCTCTGGAACCATGGAACCAGGATTTTGGGGGGGGAATACTGGGATTGTTGCTTAGGGCCGCCTTAGGGCCGCCGGCCAATTGCTGCGCAGCCTGTTGGCATCTCAGGGACGGTGAAAACCTCCTGACGACGACAGGCGTCAGAGATTCGAATGCTGATTGCGCATCTTGTCAGAACCTTCGAAAGGTTACTTAGTCTTACAAGATGGGTTTGCAGGGACGGTCCCAGCATGTAGGGTTCAGGCTTGGAGAACTTCGGACTAGCAGCTCTAGAGGCTCCTCTGCCCTCCTCCTCCGAGTCCTTATGCAGTTGAGCTGGGCAACCCTTGGCCAAGATTCTACCGAAATGCTAAGGTTTTAGATACCCCCGAACTCTGACTCCAAGCGCTTTCCAAACCCTCC